GAAACTTGCACCCACTTGTGAAAGAGATGTACTGTTGCTCTGGAGTGTGTTCCTGAATATGTTAAAGCTGTAGTCAAAAGGTTCTAAACATGTAGTTATTAAAAATTAAAAATGTATAATGATTAAAAAAATCAGTAATTCTTCAAAGCATAAAAATTTGCTCCTTAATAATTAGGAGATGTGAAAAACATTATTATTGAAATCTACCTGATGACTTTATATCCATGCTCAGATGCCAAGGAGCTCAGAAAGTAACCAACTGTGACTAGTAATAATCTGATATATAGAGATTAGAAATGCATGTGCAAACGTCTTAATGTCAATTGCATTAAAAATGAAGTTTTCTGCATGAAACTCTGTATTTTAATAATGAAATGGAGATATTTTTAAAGGTTAAAACCTCATTTAGTTTTATGTCTTATAGAGTTTATACTGAGTACAATATTGTATAACTGTAATAATTCAACTGTAAACCTAAAAATGTACAGCCAATTTTGTAAGACATGCAGCCTAGCCCAGAAAACTGTTATTGACTATGTCAATGCTGATGTAATGAAATGCTTCTTCTAAACATGTGCTTATTAAATAAATAATTTTAAAAAAACAAAATAAATCTGGCATAAACAATTTCAATAGAACTAACGGTGTTTAAAATGTTCTTGTCTGTGAAAAGTCTACATTACCATCCTATGGAAGTCAGCTTTTCAGTGTAAGAGACATCTCGGTGAATACTGGAAAGACTTTGGGAATGAAAGCAAGAAAATTTCTGGTATAATCATTGTAAAGCAATTAAACATATATAATCTTGAAAAAAAAAGTTAGGTAACTTGGATTTTTCAACTGGACGTTTTCTTTAATTAAATTAATATACTTGAGATGACATGATACCTTGTAAACTATGGTTTCTTAATATGCAAAATAAATAAATGATGCTATTTCATAAAAAAATGAGGATTAAAAGCCATGGGCCTGAAATTATAGTGAAGACAAAGCTATACTGTAACTTTTACAGTGGTTCAGTGGGAGCGGTGCAATGGGAGCGGTGCAGTGGGAGCAGTGCAGTGGGAGTGGTGCAGCACACCCACTCAGCATTCAGGAAGCAGAGGCAGGAAGATTGCTATAACATCACAGATAATCTGGGCTATTTAGTTAGACCCTGTCTCAAGAAGCAAACCAAACAAATAAACAAGATGAAGTTTTAAAAAAACACAGTTATTGGAACACGTCTGCTCATTTAAAAATTATTTTATGACAATATGAATACCTATACATTCTTTTTAATTTTATTATATTCTGAGAATTTCATACATGATATTGTATTTATATCAATTCCACCCACCTACACCTACCACTTTCAATTATGTGACCTCTTCTTTAATTATTGTCACACATACACACATACACCCCCCCCACACACACACATGCATGCCAGAGAACCAGGACAAGTGCACCTAGACAGTGTCTTCTAAACATGACAGGGAATCTGCATTCATGAAATTTCAACAATATAGCAGCTTAAACAAACCCGACAAAACCAGTTGACATGTCAATGTCATGGGAGAAATTTACAAAGTACCATCTAATGATGAAGAGCTACAGGCAATCAATAACTGCTGACTGAAGGAGAACCAGTTAACTCCAGGAATGAGTTCCCTAAAAGGTTAGCCAATCCTAAGTACTCAGCCCTAAAAACATGTAGAGAACACCACCACCACTAAATGAGTGTACATTCTCCGATTGGAACAAATAAAATGGCTATTACCTCCCCTTACTTTCTTCCAAATGGTAAAATGTCTTTTTTTAAAAAAATTGTTTTTATTGAATTTTTGTGTATTTCATACAGAACATCTCAAACAATCTTAATCATGTTTATACCCCATCCCCACCAGCGTTCCCCCCCGCACTGGAGCCCATATACTCTGTCATCCCTGTTAAAGCCCACTGTGTCAAGTCATTTTGCAACAGTTGGAGACTTACCAAGTACTACAACTGGTCACATACAGACGCTGTCTATGAATTGCCCAGGCCTAAGTGATACATCTATAATGCAACCTCCAAACCTAAGGCTCATGGAACATAGAACAGAAGTAAAGAAGAGGACACTAATAAATCTCTCAATTCTCATTAATGAAGCTCCTTCATGCAGTGGAGGGCCAAGAACACAAAAGATCACAAATGGCCAAAACATAGAGATCAAGAGTCTGCTGAATCCTGGTCCTTGGACAGTACTCCTTTATTAAACTTTACCCACTCAAGGCTCAGGAACCATCACAGAACAGGGGGTGGAAAGACTGTAAGAGCCAGGGAGGAGGTGCTACCATGTCTTTTACAAAGTCACCAGAATCATCTTCTAGAACTTAAGTACGACAGTATCACTCTGTCACTCAAAAGCATGAGGATCTGTGAGGACTCTTGGTTAATGAAATGGGAATCCCTAGAGTTCCGTTTTGTTTTTCATGACTTTCCTAATTTGTCTCTGGCTCTGATAGATTTTGCCATGCTTCCACCATATGTCCTGTATTCACAGAGGCTGGAAAAATTGCACAAACACACTTGCAACACATCTTGGCTGAGCTTTCAACTCCCCTTGGCCTGCAATTTCTCCCCCTTACCAAAGGAGCTTATCTAGTTATCACACATATTTAAAAATATAACTACGACTCAGACATCACTTTCTCAATGTGCTATTATTATCTGCTATCCTTAACTCAGTTGCTGTTTCTCATGAGTGCCACAGTTTGAAAAACTGAGCAGTATTAATAGTTGATGAAAAAAACAAACAAACAAACAACAACAACAACAACAAAAACAAAAAACAAAAAACGAAGAGTTCCTAGGCCTAGAGAAGAGAGAAAGGTATTTATAAAAGGTGAATTGCTAGATGCAACAAAACCTACAGTCAGCATCAGGAGACTATAGTACATTCTGTGGAGGTGTGTTTAACAAGAGGTCCTTTGGGCAGGAGATAACCTGAAGCTAGAAACCAATTAGGACAGTCGGTATCCAGTGAAACAGGACTGCATGTGTATCCTCTCCTATGAAGAGGACTGCATTGTTTATTTAGTTCATAATAGAAGTTATGTTTGTATTTCAATGTCTCTGAACAAATTTTGGCTGCATCTTGCAATCATACACATCATTAGCTGCTGTTTAAGTTCCAACTATTTATACAGTTACTAATTTAAAAAAAAAATGAAGGTAATTCCAGGTGTGAGAGTGGATTAATACTACTAAAAACAAAAATACCTTCCAAGGACTGAAATATACCAGTGATTATGTTTTGGCCTCTTTCTTATACTTTTTTCACCCTGGGTGTCTTTAACTTGTATGAAACTGATACTCTTGTACAATAGTCCCTCATAAGCTAATCCCTAAGTGACCTCTAATTCTAACTTTCTCTGTCATCAATTTATAAATATATGCTTTCTAAAAATGCCTTAGTGACATAAAATGCCTACTGATCATTTATCCCCCCCCCTTCCATCACCTTTTTTTCTTGCTAGCAAATTGTTCATTTGTTTTTCCAAGAAGAAAAAGTCTTATCAGAGAAATGGTTGTAAGAAAATTGACTTCTTTGGGAAGAAGGGAGAGGGAGATGAAGGGAAGAGGGTAAGGGAAGAAGAGGAGAGAGAAGGAGAGAGAGAGAGAGAGAGAGAGAGAGAGAGAGAGAGAGAGTGAGTTCTTGCCTCTCACCTTCTTACAGTCTTGTTGAATAAACGCCATGATTACTAATACAACAGTAGTGTCACAACCAGTTTCAGAGACGAATGAGGAAAGATCTGATGAACTTGCATATCTGTGGTCTGCCATCAAGAGGCTACTGAATTAATACCAGGAGCAAGCCACCACTGCTGGAGACCTGAGAAAACCTTCTGATAGTCTGTACTGCTAAGTCCATCATCACTCGTAATAAAAGACTATTTCTGCTCCCCACCCATATCCCAAAATATGCTCTATGAGGCAAAACACCATGCACAACATTAAAGTACCTCATGGAATCTTCAGCTTGACAATTTTTCAAGCTTATGATTTGTCTCTAATTATCATATAATACATTTTAAAAGACATTACTTTAAGGATACATTAAAATCCAATTTAAGAAACAAATATAAAT